GGGGAAAGTATATGTACCTCAACAAAGCAACACCTGGCAATATTCAGGTAGACAGGGCAAAGTCTCGGGGGACAGTCACACAATGAAAACAATGTTGGGCCATAGCCCTCAGGTGTCACTGTGGGCCTTCTCAGTTGAATGCCTCATCACATGTTTTCAAAGGAAGGAAGCAAAGGCTCCACATGGTCCCTGGCCTGCTAAGGTTCAGCGACACTGACCTAACAGGGATGAACCAAGAGCACCACAGCTATCTCTACACTCAGAAGGACTGATATTTTCCCCCAAATGAGATACTAACAACCTGTGAAATTTCAAATGAAAACCAGCTTCTAGCTTCTAGATACCTTCCACACAAGGAGTAAGCAAGATGTTCCCTAAAACAGTTGAAAGGCATCTGGCCATAAGACACTGGAAACAAGAAAGAGGGAAGGCCCCAGAGAACTCCGAAAAGGGCAAAACACTTGCCCTCTATGTCTGGCCTCTGCAGAAAAGCAGGAAGCATTCTGAGAAATCAGAAGTCCACAGAACGCTTGCCCACTCCAGCCTCCCCGCTGGCTTAGCACCAAAGTCTGTCTAGCACCCTTCCCCTCTCTGGAAAGGCAGTGTTGGCCCACCCGGGACAACCACTCCAGTCATTGTGCTTAGCTGTGACAGGCAGAGCTGGACATTGTAGTGTTCAGACAAGCAGGCTGGACTGTCCACGCCACTATGCAGACAGTCACTCCAGAGCGCCTACTCCACCGCGGAAGACCAATGACTCTCAAGACAAAAAGAGCATTTACAGCAATCTCTTCATTCAGAACACTTAAACAAATTGGTAAGAACTAATAACTTCTTAAACTGATCAGCAAGGCCAAGTTTTCCGGAACTCAACAAAAGAAAAGCATTTCATGGTTTGTTCCTACTCAGCAAGTATGTCTTCCTCTAACCTCCTTTCTGAATAGTGAAAAGAGGTGAAGACCCTTCGTAACTAAAAACAAGGTAGTACTGAGTCATGTAGGTATGTGTATATAAGGATGCATAAACATATGTATATAATTCAATATGTATACATACAGCCCTCACCCTAAAATGTGAATAGCATAAAATGTAAATGTCAGTAAATCAGTATTTGAAAACTTAAGCAAAAGGAAACTCAAGACTACAAGTTGCCTTTTACCTGCGCTGGATGCAAATATGATTTTATGTAGATCAAAGTCTTTCCTGTGGGAAAGTGTGACTACTTGCTTACGTGAAATACCACTTCATTTAGGAAGAAATCTTGCTGAATATGAAGCAATTTCTGAGCCAAATATTATATTCAAGGATGTCTCACAACATTGATATTTATAGTGCAGATGAACAGAAATAGTATAAATGTCTAACAACAGGAGAATGATAAATCAATAAGAGTACACCTTACAATGAAACAGTTTACATTTAAAGAAATATTTTCTAATTAAGTTCACAATGAATAATTCCTTTGATTTGAAAAAAACGTAAAAAACAATTAGGATGCAAATACGTAGACGTAGCCTGATTCCAATGGTGTGTGTATCTGTCTGCGAACACTTTAGTACTAGCTGTTTCTGGGTTTTGGAGTGATGGGTGATTTTTATCCTATTCTTCTCTAGTTTCCCAAATGTTTCCCAGTGGCAGACACAGGCAATTTAAAGTTAGTCCACTAAGGTGAGCACCAGCAGCTGGCCACAAGCACTCTGCCTCCCAGCATACCTCCCTCTGCTGCAGAGACTGCTAGCCAGTGCTGGGTCTCTGGACCCCAGGAGGCCAGGAGGCTGGGAGGCCGGGAGGCCAGGAGGCCAGGAGGCCAGGAGGCCAGGAGGCCATGGCTGGGATCCAGGCTGGAACCTGCATCTCAAACTCAGGGACGGGCCTCAGCACCCTGTCCTGGGGCAGACCAGATGTGCATAATGTCTAAAATTCTTCAGCTCTCCGGGGCCCACCAGAGACCATAAGTTCTTCCAATTATTTGTGAGAAATGGATTAAAATATTAAGCTGTTTTATGTTAACATAAGTCTATCTGCTACAAAATGGAAGTGATTCACATACCCAAGATGCTAAAAGAGTTCAAAGTCAACCCTAACTACACTGGTGCCTTCTGACTTGGAATCCTCCAGCTCAGTTAAACGCTATTAAAATGTAACATTTTAAAGCTGCAAATTTAACTTGTTTAGAATTTTGTGAACAACCAAAACTGATTCCATCTGAACAAAAACTAAAGGTCACAAGGACTAGTCATAAATGAATCTCCTTTGGGTGGCCTGCTGCATGAGTCTTCGAAAGTTCCAAACTGATCTTAATGGGAGAAAAATCCATCAGGATTCCTTACACAATCACAAAATACCTCTGGATACTAAGACTACTAACACTTCAGTCTCTTAATTCAAAAGAAAAGAAAAAAAAAAAACCTCAGAAACTTAAAAATGTAGTCCATTTATGCCAGCAAATTCTTCTCAGTTTAAACTCTATTCTGCACTCTTTTTTTTTTGCTCGAACTAATACAAAGCAGAGTTTGTTGAAATGCAAGATGAAAGTAAAAGAAATTTTACAGGCATTTTTGTACAGATGAAATGGATAAGCCAGGCAAATCTCAATATACATCCATGTTGGTATTAATGTGATTAGTATTATTTCCACATTTCTCTTTACATACCAGGCTAAATTGCTGGCTATGTTGAAAAATGTTGTCACCTTATTTAATGGATATTTACGAGCATCTGTTCAACAGATTCAGCAGCGAAAATGACAAACGCTGCTTAAAAGCTAGAGCTATGATGAGTGGGCTGGTGGGGGCTGTAATGGAACAGATGACAAAGGGCATTCAAATGAGCTTTTAAAGCCAGCTCTTGGGAGGCTGAGGCACGAGGACTGCAGTGAGTTCAAGGCCAACCTAGGTTACATAGTGAGCTGAAAGCCAGCCTGTAAAATACGGATGGATGGGTGCATGGATGGATGGATGGATGGATGGATGGATGGATGGATGGATGGATGGATGGATGGATCTCAAGATCCTGGCCTCAAAAAACAAACAGGAAAAAGCAAAATTAAAAAACAAGAGGGAAAAAAAGACAGGCAACATGAGATTCATTTATTTGCACTAAATAAATTGGGCTTAGAAAGCCCACTGCATGGGGATGGACAGCACACTTCCACTTTTCCACTTTGAGGGAGGCTGAAGGGATCAATGGCCAGGTGAGCTACACGAATAAAAGCCCATGGCGGCCACTTCTATCCTTACAGCCCACAATGCTCTGCATTTTTAATCTACCTCATGAGCTGGTATACTTAAATTTGGTGTGATAAAAACATTCAGGGAGTGTTTAAATTTAAAAATCATATTATGTACAAGACACACTGTCACCACTAATCCCCCACTACAACTTCCCCTCACTTGGAGCACACATATGTCATTGTCCCTGCCACTGTCTAAAGCAGTCCTGGCAGTTCTCTCTTGTTTCTCTACCAGAGAGGATCAAAGCTATGGCAAACGCTGCTGCCTGGTGCCCTCCACCAGAAAGGCGGTTCGTAAAACAGGACATTGTGTTCTCAGTCCCTGCACTCACCAGATCTGAAACCCTGTGATTTTTGGCCCCCTTCCAAAGTCATGACCGTCAAAAGTAAATGTTTGTAATGAATTAGAACATCAAGGCAGCGGGGCAGTGTAACTGAAGACCGCCACGAAAGTCAATGTCACACCAGAAAGTGGCAAAAAAGGTGTACGATGTGTTCAAATTGAAAGGGACTATTCTGAATGGGGTTTATGCCAATGTGTCTTTTACTGTAACAATGTTTAAATATTATATGCTAGGGTTTTTTCTTAATCAAACCCTTTACATATGTAAAACTTCCCTGTAAGGGGACACAAATAGCAAATCAAGGTGCCTGTGAAGAGAAACAGTGGTGACAAGGAGAGAGGAGTACATTTCATGTTGGAAGTTTCCCTTCTTTAATCACAAGAATATATTATCAACTTAAACTATTGTTTCAGTTACTCTTCTCTCATTGCTGGGACACAGACTCAACACCCAAAATGAAAGAAGGAAAGATTTGTTTAATTTAGCTTACAGTTACTGGAGATTTCTGTCCATATTTGGCTGGCTCCACAGCAGAGCAGCACAGGGCAGAGAGCAAACTTTCATGGTGGAGGCAAAGAGCAAGAGCAAAGGGAGGAGGGCTGGTGAGATGGCTCAGTGGTCTGGGGCACCTACTTAGAACAAGCTAAGCTACACAGGGACCGCAGTTCAATCCCCCAGCACCACATGCCAGCCAGCCCCGCCCCCTGGTGGGCTGAGCTGGCCACACACTAAATAAATAAATAAATAAATAAATAAATAAATATTAAAAAAGAGCAAAGGGAGGAGCAGCAACAGCCCAAGCTTCTGGGCCCTCCTTACACTGTAATGCCAATTACCTGCCCCAGGGCAAGGGCAGCATCCACACCTGCAATAATCAATCACAAACTCCAGAAGCCTACCCATAACTGCATGAGGCTTTGGGGGGACAACTAGACACAAACTATAACAACTATGTACCCATAAATAAGCATTTCTCATATCTTTTTTTAATCATTCATTCATTCATTCATTCATTCAGAACAAGGTATTGCCACACAGCTCAGACTCATAATGATCCTCCGGTCTCAGCCTCCCCAGAGCTTGGATTACAGGTATGCATCACCACACCTGGTTTCAGTGGCCAGCTGGGCACAGGGCTAACACAGCAAGGATAGAACCTGGCACCTGGGTCCTTGCGCTTGCCAGGCAGGTGCATAGACCACCGAGCTATCTCCCCAGCCTCACGTTGGCCATATCTAACACTCATTTATTTTATCAGCAAACTCAGGCTGGATGGAAAAGAGGTCGTCATCTGAACTTTGATGGCAGAGTCAACGATGCCCATGAAAGGGTACCATGCAGGTGCCAGAGGACACAGGCTCTACCCAACAGGGCCTGGCACCTCAGTGCCCATTCCTTGGGCCCAGGGCATAGGAGGTAGTTACCTTCCTGTCGCAGGTTTGGGGACTCCCAGCAGCATTCTGCTTGAGGAAGCCAGCTGTTGTGGACCAGCGAGTGGGGTTTTTCCTGGACGGCTCCTCAGAGAAGTCATTGTCACTGACAGATGTTGGAAGGCCAACTAATGCTGGGTCACTGCTCCGGCGGACATGAAGAGGCATGTCTAGAAACACAAAATGACAGGGTTTCACACTTACACACTGTCTGAAAAGGACATGTCAAGAAAGATGTAATGAAGACCTAAGATTAAAGATTAGAATAACACTGTTCGGCAAGGGACCGTGAGTCAGTATGCTACATACAGATTACTCCAGTTCCTTTACTGCTGTCGCTCTATTTTGACTTCTTTTGAGACAGGGTCTCACTCTGTAGTTCAGGAGGGCCTTAAACTATCTAGCCCAGGTGGGCCTCTAACTCTTGGCAACCCTCCTACCTCGGCCTCGGAACGCTGGGCTTCTCAGGCATGTGACACCACGCCCAGCCTCCTCGGGTCCTTTAAACACTTATGGTGAAGGGTACAGGGTAGGCTTGGGAGGAGACCACACTGTACTGGAGCATCGCCTCCTATGAGCTCCGGTACTAAGCAGGTGTCCAGCTGTCTTCTTGGTTCCCACTGGAGTGACAATAAAACCTCTTTCATGAAAGTGCCCAAGCACTACATGAGTTAACAGCGCTTGGTGCTCATGGTTCATATTCAATAAAGACATCACAACCACATTATTGTTCTTACTACCTCAAATTTCCGAATAAACTTCATATTATAAAAAAGGAAAAAAATCTAAGCAACTAAACAAATTTCCTGTCACTTTTAGTTCTATATCTACTGAAGTAAAATAAAAATACAAAATCTAGACAATGTTTGGCTATACTATTAATGAATTTTTTGAATTAAATGTGGTTTTGTTCAATGAGGTTTTACCAGAAACTGTAAAACATAAGCATAGTTTATATCTGTATAAGATAACTTCGTAAGTAGTATTCTGGTACACAAATTTTTCCATATACATTCATGCACAGTTACGTGGAAGAATATTCCAGCAACTTCATTCACATAGAACAGGCTGCTTACAAGTGCTTTATCAAATTCAGTCACATTCAGGTGAGCACTTGTATCAGGAGTGCTGAGAACAACTTGGCAGACAGGATCACCATCGTAGCACAGAAGAGACAAACCAGGAGACAGAGAGATAGGAACAAGGTACAGGCTGAGATCGGTAGAATCAGAACCTCAAGCTGCGCTCACCAAATGAAACCACTCAAAAGCATGATGAACATAAGACAGAGATTTGTGTTTGCAATCTGTTTTCAAAACCTAAAATATAGGCTGGGGAAACAGCTTGGCAGTCTGAGCACCTGCCTGGCAAGCGCAAGGACCCAGACTCGATCCCCAGTAACACAAGCCGTGCCAGCCCCACACCGTGCCAGCCACTGAAAGTAGGCATGGTGGTACACACCTTCAATCCCAGCACTGAGGAGCTGAGACAGGAGGATCACTACGAGTCCAGGCTGCACTGTGAGACTCTGTACCAGAGAAGTAATTATTTTTTAAAAATTTAAAAACTGAGCTGGGGAGATGGTTCACTGGAATAGGCACTTTCCTGGCAAGTGCAAGGGCCTGAGTTCAATCCCCAGTTCCACAAAACTAAATTAATTAATTAAAAATTAAAAACTAAAATACAAGTTAAACATCCGTTTTAAATACTCTAACAAAAATTTTAATTATGAAGTGGTAAACTCATTCTATGAGAAACATGAGGCAACACGGTGACCCAAAGGTCACTGAGGATGCAAAAGGCTGTTTGAAGGTCATATTGAAACCTGTCGAACCCCAATCATCTCCAGACTCAAAATGGTCAGAAAAAACAGGTGTGTGTGAACCACAGTCCTCCTGCACTGAGCCGTTACTCGTACCTCACTGCACTTGCTAACAGTGACACAGTCCACACCCCACTAGCAGAGGGAGATGTCCAGAGCCTGACATAATACCATTGGCAGTTATATTAACTTTCTGGGAGCCACATATACATGAAAATTATAAGGGATGATTTCTGGTTTTTAGGTATACGTAAATACCTATGAGAGTCATCACTGCTTATAATTTGTGCCAAAAAGTAAATAAAACACATCAGTAAGAACTATATAGTCACTCTCAGAGTAAGTTTACAATAATATGAATTTTAAAAATCTGTAAATTCATACTGCAATGACATTTTAAGGAAAGTTCTCTATTAAAATTATTCTCAGAATCATCAAATGAAAAACATAAGCAGAAAAGTAACCAAATTAGGGAGTGAGAGACCCTAAAATGCGGAGGACAATCAGGATAATGCAACTTAGAGCTGGGTGTATTCTTTTCTACTTATAGAGGTGTCAAGTACTCAGTTATTAAGCAACTCTATATACCAATCTCCAACTCACCCTCCTCATTCCTCCTCCATACGATTAAGTCTAAAAGAAGGCTGGGGAGCGGGGAGATAGCTCAGCAGCTTAAGTGCCATCCTGGACAGCACATGGTCCTGAGTTCCATGCCTGGTACCAGAAAAGAGGGAAGGAGGAGAGAGGGAGGGAGGGAGGGAGGGAGGGAGGGAG